CTTCTCTGTGTGTGTGTGTGTGTGTGTGTGTGTGTGTGTGTGTGTGCTCTGAATACTATCGGTGGACAGAGCCTGATTAAAAATCAACACACACTTGCAGAGGTCAGCGTGTGTGTGTGGTTTGTAGGTGAGCCGTCACAGTCGATGGAACAGCTTAATTGGGATGCGCACATGAACAGGGGAAGGTTGGTGTGTTTTTCATTCAGGAGGAGAGCGAGAGCTCTTCATTGATTATGAAGGGTGCAGACCTACAGAATCAGTGAGTTTCTACTGCATCTTTAGTGTTCCACTACAATATTCAAAGGACCCCTGACTTTTCCAGTCATTTATGATTTAGTGGATAAGGATAAGCTTGACATAACTAGAAAACATTACAAAAATTCCCATAGCATTTTAATATCTTATTAATTCACATGACGTTTCCAGTTCTAGAAATCACACTTTCTCATAACAATGTTATTTTAGTATCAATTAGATACTATTATAATTTTTATTAATAGTTTGAAATATTTGTATTTTTATATTTTCTGTTTTAAATAAATATTAAAATTTTAGTAATTTTTAGATTTTTTTTTTCTTTTAAGTTTTATGTGTTTTTATCATTTGTCATTATTATTATTATTTTTAATGTGTCTATATAGTTTTCATTACAATTTTTTTTTATGTTTTTAGTTTTAGTTAAAAACCCTAATAATAACCCTACCGCATATATCCGGGTTTTCTAAGACCATATGAATCCTGGTTCTTCAAAGACAAAAAGAGGTGAATTGAGTGTTTTAAATATTTTTAATACATTTTTCCCCCCTATTGTAAGTCGCTTTGGGTGAAAGAATAAATGTAAAATCTAAAAATGTAAACTTCTAAAGAGTTTTCTTCTAGATGTTGTCTTAGAGTTACACAAATGTGTTCAGTTTTCAGTGACACATCAGCCAATCAGAAAAGATGATGTGTAATATACAGTTATGAGGAGCAGCATTTTGGACCAATGAGATGTAACTGTGGGCGGAGCTACTCAGGATGACGCTGCAGAAATAGAACCCATGTGATCGTTTGTTGAGAGCAAAACCCAGATTTACATGGAAGAGGAGCTTGTATCACTTGTTGCTTTATCGCTTCAAGTCTGTAGTCATTGTAATCAGCTTTATATAAACTCTACAACAGCAAACACAGTAACTCTGTTGAGTGTGTGTGTGTGTGTGTGTGTGTGTGTGGGTTTTCTCTCAGGCAGCACCGCAGGCAGTTCATCATGGGGCCGATGCTCACCGTCTCATTAGTCTCATCTCTCTGTCTCTCTCTGTCTTTATAGTGTCATTCAGAGGATATTAGCGTCTGCTGTGTTTTATGGCAGCAGCTGACTGAGTGTAATAAAGTTTGAAAACTCACCTTCTACAGAATCAGCACAATACACATTCATTACATCACAAATAGAGCACAACAAATGAGAAGGGAATAGAAATGTGACGTATCCTCGTGTGCTTTCTGTGTTCGATTATAGCTGTGCATGTTAAACTGATGCATAAAGTGTGTGTGAGTTGCTAATTGTAATTCAGCAGGAGTGTGTACACACGTGTACCTCTCTCACTGTGTCTCACACACACTCAGTGGCAGGTTTTTCGGATTGTAGTAACTTTAATGCGTTTGATGCAAAAAAACAATAATAATAGTTTTAAAATGTATTAATGCATGTTTTAAAATGTAGTTAAATGTAATAAAATAATTACATTTAATAAATAATTTAATGAATCATAATAAATAATTTAAAATGCAACATTTAACATAACAGATGTTTACACATAATCCACAAGTCAAAATAATATCTGAAATGATAAAAAATATAATATAAAGCATTTTAAATAAAACATTTGTTTATTTTTATAATATAATATAATGTAAAAAATGTATAATATAATATAATATAATATAAACTTCTGTTTAACATGTTAAAAACTGACAGCCCTCTTCATAATTCACAATAATAACTGTGTGTGTGTGTGTGTGTGTGTGTGTGTGTGTGTGCAGTACAAGCAGGTGGAGCAGTACATGTCCTTCCATAAGCTGCCAGCGGACATGAGACAGCGGATCCACGATTACTACGAGCACAGATACCAGGGGAAGATGTTTGATGAAGAGAGCATTCTGGGAGAACTGAATGAGCCACTGAGAGAGGTGAGGACACACAGATGCATGCTGGGTAATGCGTGTTACCATTGTGTATTCATGCAGTAGGTGCATTTGCATTCGTTTTGCTTTTCACTTCACAGGAGATCATAAACTTCAACTGTCGGAAGCTGGTGGCGTCTATGCCGCTGTTCGCCAACGCGGATCCAAATTTTGTGACGTCGATGCTCACCAAACTTCGCTTTGAGGTCTTCCAACCTGGAGATTACATCATACGGGAAGGAACCATCGGAAAGAAGATGTACTTCATCCAGCACGGCGTGGTGAGCGTCCTCACCAAAGGAAACAACGAGACCAAGCTGTCAGACGGGTCCTACTTTGGAGGTACAAATGAATCACAAACGTGGAAATACAAAAGTGGATCATGCACTCACACACTCACACACATAGTGGAGCTCAGCCATTTGTCCAGCTTTAATATTCATAATGATGGATTAGACAAAACAAAAGCGTTTTGCCGCTAAGCTTTTGGGACAGTCACAGCTGATAAGTGCCCTGTTTCTGGGCCGTTGACACAGATGCGAGGCAGGTAATGTTTGGGTCATTTCCGTTTGAATTTTTGGGGCTCCTGATGCAGCTCTTCAAACTTTCTATCCTTCAGTTTTCATAATTCAGAAGAGAGAGATCTGAAGATACATGAAATATCAGTTCTGCGGCTCGATGAAATGCTTTTTTCCTGTTGTGACACAAGCACACGGGATTAGATTGTATGAATAAATAAAGAATAAAGATGACACATTTACATGGCAGTAAATTGATCAAAAGTGACAGTAAAGACATTTATAATGTTACAAAAGTTTTCTATTTCAAATAAATGCTGTTCTTTTGAACGTTCTATTCATCTGTGAATCCTGAAAAATAAAATGCATCACAGTTTCCACAAAAATATTGTGCAGCACGACTGTTTTCAACATTGATAATAATCAGAAATGTTTCTTGAGCAGCAAATCAGCATATTAGAATGATTTCTGAAGATCATGTGACACTGAAGACTGGAGTAATGATACTGAAAATACAGCTGCGCATCACAGAAATAAATTACATTTGAACAGTTAATAAAAATACAATTATTCATTGTTCATGTTAGTTCACAGCGCATGCTATACCATTCTAAATATATATATATATAATTTTTTTTATATTGGCTGTCTGTGACGGCACTAGTGAACTTTGAGACTGTGTGTGTTCTTGTATTCAGTCATGATGTAATCTTCCTGTGGTTTCAGAGTCATTAGTCACATGACGTTACGTCTCAGGTGATTTGTGGGTAATTTGGTCCAAGCAATGTGAAAAGAGCCTTAGACGAGGTCAGGACTGCAACTCTCGACACTTTCATTTGCTTCATTTCATTGAGTGGTTTCTGTTTAAATAACGAGGCATTTAGCCGCATGTGACCTGCTGACCATTGCTAATTACAGCTAGTGTATGCCTCGCGACCTCTGACCTCGACCGTAGGAACTCTGCTGGAAGTAATGGAAAGATAACACACGATCCATCTCTACCACAACGCCAGCGTTAATCTGCATTTCACATACACGCTCCTGACCATCTCCAGTCTCCAAGTCCTAGCACCAGTGCGTGCTGGGAAAGGAACGGAAAGCCGTGGAGAATTTGTTTTTAACCCGAGTTATTCGCTCATGAAATTAATTTATGCAACGGCTCTTCAGGGGGATGTGAGATTTTACTGTCCTGGTGTCTGTTGTTTATTACTAATGTGACGCTGGCTTTGGCCAAAACAAGCTGACTTAGAAGACAGCATAATTTTGCTGCATGCATTTTAGGACAGGCATCACATGGAGAGCATAAACTGCTGTCTATGTAGGCAGCTCAGTAGGGTTTAGAACAGTCTGTCTCAGTCAGAAACAGTAAACACATGAATGCCCTCATGATTCCTGTGATTGTGTCAGCCATCAATGATTTAAACACGGGGCTGATGATAATTACACGCTACTCATACCAGGTCATGTGACTCGCTCCCCGTAATGAGGGTGCATGGTTGAGTTTGACTTATTAAAGAGGGATGAATATGAAAGAAGACACTGACTAGAGCAAGAGAAGCCAGGTTTATTTTATTTTATTTTATTTTATTTTGAAGAAAATGTGAGTGTTGTTTGTCAATGCTGGGGTATTGCTATACGGTTGCTATGGTGTGTGTGGTTGCTAGGTGGTTTCTAGGGTATTCTGAGTGGTTGCTAGGGTGTTCTGGTTGCTAGATGATTTCTGTGGTGTACTGCGTGGTTGCTAGGTGTTTTCTACAGTGTTCTGAGTAGTTGCTAGGGTGTTCTGGATGGTTGCTAGATGGTTTATATAGTGTATGTGGTTGCTAGGTGGTTTCTAGGGTTTTCTGAGTGGTTGCTAGGTGGTTTCTAGGGTGTTGCAAGTGGTTGCTAGGTAATTTCTAGGGTGTTCTGAGTGGTTGCTAGGGTGTTCTGGTTGCTTGATGGTTCCTGTGGTGTTCTGCATGGTTGCTGGGTGTTTTCTAGGGTCTTCTGGGTAGTTGCTAGGGTGTTCTGGATGGTTACTAGATGGTTTATAGGGTGTTATGAGTGGTTGCTAGGGTGTTCTGGTTGTTAGATGGTTTCTGTGGTGTTCTGAGTGGTTGCTAGGGTGTTATTTTATTTTGAAGAAAATGTGAGAGTTGTTTGTCAATGCTGGGGTATTGCTATACGGTTGCTATGGTGTGTGTGGTTGCTAGGTGGTTTCTAGGGCAGTGGTTCCCAAACCTGTCCTGGAGGCCCCCCTGCCCTGCACCTTTTGTATGTCTCCCTTATCTTACACACCTGATTCCACTCATCAGCTCGTTAGTAGAGACTGCAATAACTAAATTGGGTGTGTCTGATTAGGGAGACTGCATGGTCTGCATGGCATGTTCTGCATGGTTGCTGGGTGTTTTCTAGGGTCTTCTGGGTAGTTGCTAGGGTGTTCTGGATGGTTACTAGATGGTTTATAGGGTGTTATGAGTGGTTGCTAGGGTGTTCTGGTTGTTAGATGGTTTCTGTGGTGTTCTGAGTGGTTGCTAGGGTGTTCTGGATGGTACAGTAAGTGGTTTCTAGGTTCTTCTGGGTAGTTGCTAGGGTGTTCTGGATGGTTACTAGATGGTTTATAGGGTGTTATGAGTGGTTGCTAGGGTGGTCTGGTTGTTAGATGGTTTCTGTGGTGTTCTGAGTGGTTGCTAGGGTGTTCTGGATGGTGGCTAGATGGTTTCTATGGCGTGTGTGGTTGCTAGGTGGTTTCTAGGGTGTTCTGAGTGGTTGCTAGGGTGTTCTAGATGGTACAGTAAGTGGTTTCTAGGTTCTTCTGGGTGGTTGCTAGGGTGTTCTGGATGGTACAGTAAGTGGTTTCTAGGTTCTTCTGGGTAGTTGCTAGGTGCCCTCTAGGGTGTTCTGACTGGTTGGCGTGTGTGGTTGCTAGGTGGTTTCTAGGGTGTTCTGAGTGGTTGCTAGGGTGTTCTAGATGGTACAGTAAGTGGTTTCTAGGTTCTTCTGGGTGGTTGCTAGGTGCCCTCTAGGGTGTTCTGACTGGTTGCTATGGTGTTCTGGCTGTTCCGAGGAGTTGCTAGGGTGTTCTGGATAGTTGCTAGGTGGTTTCTAGAGTGGTCTGGATGGTTCCTACGTGGTTTCTAGGATGTTGTGGGTGGTTGCTAGGTGGTCTCTTACTGTCTTAAGTCAAAAGAGTCCTGCATCCTCAAGTCTCTGTGATATTCTGGTCTCTAGATGTGTTTAAAGGAACACTCCACTATTTTTGAAAATAGGCTCATTTTCCAACTCCCCTAGAGTTAAACAGTTGAGTTTTACTGTTTTCGAATCCATTCAGCCGATCTCCGGGTCTGGCGGTAGCACTTTTAGCTGTAGCTTAGCATAGATCATTGAATCTGATTAGACCGTTAGCATCTCGCTCAAAAATGACCAAAGAGTTTCGATATTTTTCCTATTTAAAACTTGACTCTTCTGTAGTTACACTGTGTCCTAAAACCGACGGAAAATGAAAAGTTGCGATTTTCTAGACCGATATGGCTAGGAACTATACTCTCATTCCGGCGTAATAATCAAGGAACTTTGCTGCCGTAGCATGGGTGCAGCAGGTGCAATGATATTACGCAGCGCCTGAAAATGGGCTAACTTCTGTCAACATAACCAACGTGACCACCTGCTTGCACAGGGAGCGTGCTGGGGACTATTTTCAGGCGCTGCGTAATATCATTTAAATCGAAAAATATCGAAACTCTTTGGTCATTTTTGAGCGAGATGCTAACGGTCTAATCAGATTCAATTATCTATGCTAAGCTACAGCTAAAAGTGCTACCGCCAGACCCGGAGATCGGCTGAATGGATTCGAAAACGGTAAAACTCAACTGTTTAACTCTAGGGGAGTTGGAAAATGAGCCTATTTTCAAAAATAGTGGAGTGTTCCTTTAATTCACTGACTCTGACTATGAGCAGCAGCACTAGTGATGCTCTACACTATTGAGGAATAAAGAGGGCCGACAGTCACTCTGATACCCTTTATTCTGACACACACACACACACACACACATGCTGCAGGTGGACCGTCACTGTAATACATGTGCCGTCAGCCTCTTTGGATAAAAGCTACAATCTGCAGCACAATCTCAAAGCGTGGCAGGAGTGTGTCGTGTGTGTGTGTGTAGATCATTCTTAGTTAAATGTCATGATCGGGAGTGTTTGATTCATTCTGATCTGGAAGGATTTCTTTGGGAAAATCCCTCAGATCCGAGTAATCTCAGCCTGTTTCTGTCGGAGGAGGAGGAAAATCGAACACAGTGTCTCATCAGTGTTGTCATCTTGTGTCACTCTCTCCAGACTAAATCTGATCTGAGACAGGATCACATGAGTGTGTGTGTGTGTGTGTGTGTGTGTGTGTGTCAGTGGTGCCAGAACAAGTTATGAACTGGAGGGTGTGACGTCACAACACAGTGATGTCTCTGCTCATGAATATTAATTATATCGTGTATACCTTGCTGTGAACTGTAATATTACTGAACCGTCCACGTAACCGTCACGTAAGTCATTAATATTCATGAGGCAAACCTTCACTTGGGATTTGTAATTCAGGTCCTGTGCAGATATGCTCAAGTTGAAAGTCCGTCAGGACACATCACACTGACCTGGCATTATCTGGAGATCAGACCTGTAATGTCAACAATTAATAATAAGGAATGGATTATTATTATTATTATTTAAAAAATTATTATATTTATTTATTTATTTATTCCAGTGACTTGCTATTGAGAATTTTAATTGTTTACATATTTATAATATAATATTTAATTGTAAAATGTGCAGGTAAAGACCTGTTAACTATTG